GGCGCACTGTAGCAGTGCGCCACCGGGCCGGCCCCTGAATTGTTCAGTTTTTATAACTTTGTAACTTTTATGCTGATTCCTTCTTTAACCCATCCCTTACATAAGTTTTAAAATTTCCCGTAGTATGTCTTTTCAGGGAAGTCTAACTTTATTGCAGAATCTACTCCTCAGAGCCAAGATGAGGCTATCTTATTTATTTCCTGGAAATTGTGAAGATTTCCACTGCTTTTTATAAATGTTGACTTTTATAAATGTTCCATGCTGTTTGAGAATTTGGGTGTAGAGGGCATATAGGGTTTGATAAATTTATTTGACTAAGTTTATTAATGGTGTTAATCTCATCTGTTTATTTTTTGACTACCTGACCTGTTGGTTTCTAAAAAAGGTAACCCCACTCTTTCCTAGGCCGGGCCCCTTCCCTCACCAAGATCACCCTTTCTCATCCCTAGAGCTTCTCTGAGGCCATAGGGTGTGTGTGTGGGGGGATCCTTTGTTCCATATCTGGCTGCTGTGGGTGGCTTTGATGCCAGAAGTGGAAGTGACTCAGGCAAAGGTGTAGACACAAAATAAATGTCTTACCCTCCATCAACCGGGGTATGACTCTAGCTCAGAGCCCACTCATTGGGTGACCTAGTGCATGGGGAAGAAATAGTGATCTGATCTGTGAATGGGGCTGGTGAATCCTAACTCAAGTGGCTGGCCCACAGTAGATTCTTAATGAAGGTCGCTGTTATAATGCAAACATGAGCTAGCCTCTACAGGGCCAGGGCTTGGGTTCTGGGTTCAAATCTTAGCCTGGTCACTTTGTTGCTGTGTGATCTTAGACAAGTAACACCACCTCTCTGGTCCAACTCCTCGTCAGACTATTTGTACATTGAAATGAGAAAACACTGACTCTCCAGCTCCCCCCACTGGCCCCAGGGATGAGGCAGGAAGGGTGAAGGCACAGCAAACACTCCACCACAGGCCAGGGTCGGATGATCTTCCTTTATACAAAGTTGATATATCTACATACACAGAGGTGGGAAAACCACCCAGCTGCTTCCGTTGGAATAAACAGTGTTGAAAGCAACGTCAGATCTGCTCTTGTACAAAGAGAAAAACTCACTTGCTTGGGGTGGGGGAATCCCATCCTTCTACTTCTGCCCCCAAACTACCCCACAGTCCCAGGGGGAATGGGTCCCTGATGCGGGGCAGCACACGGCCACTCTCACCAAAGAAGCAGGACCCTTCTGAGATAAGGAGCTCAGGCTGCCATGGGGGTGGGGTGGGCTGGGGACTGCCATCTCCTCAGTAGCGTGTCACCCCCTCCCCTGGTGGGTTCAAATCTGACGCTGGTGGGCCTGAGTCCCCCCCATTACCCCACCCTCAGAACCGTACTTGATATGTCTAAAAATGTAATTAAAAAAAAAATGAAACAAAGTAGGGGAAATAAAAAAGCAAAAAGGGAAGAAAAGCCAGGCGCAAAAAGGATGTCCCATTCGTCCATAAGCGAGGCACACTGTCTGATGACAATAAGAAAAAAAAAAGCCAAAGGGACAGCCGTGGGCCCAGCACACGCGTCTGCAAACATAACTATCACACAAGGACGTTTTCTACAGTGAAAAAATAGACTGTCTTTGAACAGAATATGAATAAGCAAAGTTGTTCTCTTTAAATTCATTGACTGACAAGTCTTTTTTGTTTGTTTCTTCTTTTAAAAAAAATGGGAAAAAAAAAATACACTATTTAAAAAAAAAAAAAAAGGAAGTGTCACAGGATACAGTTACACTGAGTTTTAAAAGAAAGCTGGATTCTGCCCCCAAGCCCAGCGCCCCCAGGCTGTAGGGCAGGGTCCCCAGGGAGGACAAGGGCTCAGTCCACGGTCTGTGCCCCACCCTCTGGTCCTGGGAGCACCCCTGTTTGCTAACCACCCCCCCACCCCCACTCCGGAACCTCTTGTTTTGGAATCAAAAGGAAATGAGGAATGTGCCAAGTATTTGAAGGCAGCGGCCGGGGCCAGGGAGGTCGCAGGGTCGGCTGGGGCCGTGCGGGGGCTTGAGGGGCTGCGTCATCCTCAGAGACTGCGCAGAAATGCAGCTGCCGCCGCTGCCTCCTGCCCTGCCCGCTGCGGGTCAGGCCTCCGAGGGTCCACCCAGTGTGGGCAGAGGCATCTGGGGCCGGTGGTGTCGGGCCAGGGGGGACCATGGCTTTAGGTTGCATAGTGGTCAAAGCTTCCGAGGTACTCCAGTGCCGCCTGGTAACAGAACTGGTACTCGTCCTGCGGGAGCAGAGGGGAACAGGGACCGTGTCAGCACCTCCCTTCTCTGACGCCTCCCAGGGCTCTCTACTGCCCTCAGGAGCAAGCCAACCTCCTCAGATGGTGTGTGTCTCTCTCTTGAAGACCCCTTCAGCCCCACAGTCCTCTCCAGAGGGAGGGGTCCCCAAATGCAGGGAGCCATGTCACACTTCCTAGCTTTTGCACGGGCTGAGCCCTCCACCTGGAATGCCCTCTCCCCTGTCCGCCTGGTGGCTCAGCAGTGTGCCCCATCAGGAACATTCCCTTCAGGGCTAGGAGTCTGTGACTCAAGCTCTGGGCCTCAGTTTCCCCATCGGGAAACTGAGTGGTTGGACTTTTAAGTTGTGTGGTCCAGGGCAGGGTCCTGGCTGAGCTATGAACTTGCTGTGACTCTAGGACTGCGAATGGACCCATCTCTGTCCACTCCAAGGGACACTACTTGGCTTTGGCCTTCAGTCAACTCTTGTTTCAAAAGGGTTGACTTGACACCTCCCAGCCCCAAACAGAAGGTGTTTGTGGACTGTCCACCTACAACAACAAACAGACTCCAGGGTGGCTGTGCCCATCTCACAGAGGAGGAAACTGAGGCCAGGCTGCCTCCCCTCCCTGTCCTGTCTTTACCTCTGTCTGCACCATGGCTGGCCGCTGGGTCCGCAGCATCTTCACTGTCTGAAAGATGTCCACCACGCCTTCATACCGCATCCGTTCCAGCACGATGCTGAGAGTGATGAAGACCCCTGTCCTGCCCACGCCGGCACTGTTGGGGTGAGCACAGCAGTTCAGGGGTGGGATGTGACTGCCTGACTCCCCGAGGACTCAAATAGCCTTAACTGGACTGCTAAAAGCCTGGGGCTGCCCTCCTAGGCCTCAGTTTCCCCAGCTGGGCAATGGACTTGACGAATCTCACCTGCAGTGGACAGAGATGGGACCATCCTGGCCAAACTGCTCCTTGGTCTTATGCACTTGGCCGATGAAGTCAATGAAGCCCTCCCCCGACTTTGGCACACCCTGTTCCGGCCAGTCTGTGAACTGAAACTGTCGGACAGTCCGGGACTGGCCGTCCTGCAATAGAGAGAAGCCCGTCTTGCTATCGACCTCAGCGGTGGCCGTGGGTGTTCTGCCTGCCACCTTCAATCCCATTCTCCATCTCCAGCCAACACCACCCTGCATCCTTCCCCATCCTCAGACCCATTTTGCCCCTTTTCCTCCACCCACTCTGATAACTCAACGTCCTTCACAATCTAATGGCACCATTTTCCTTTGAGATGCTACAACCTTATCTTCACCAGGGATGCCAACACTATCCTTCTCTACTATCCTCTGTCGTCACCAAATAATGACACCATCTTACCCAGACATTGTCCACCCCCTACCACCCAACCATCCCATTCTCTACATCTCCAATACCATCCACTGCAGCCAAGGTGACATCCAACACTACCCTTCTCTACCATCCTCCACCCTTTGCCACCCAACAGTGTACCCAGCCCTTACCCTTCCCAGTCTCATTCTCCATCACCACGATCCTCTAGCATCGTGGAGCATCGCACCACCACCCAACACCAGCATCTTCCCTCCTGCAACACCAGTTACCACCTACCACCCAACAGTGCCATCCAACACCATCACTCTGCCATCTTCCATCCTTCACAACCCAATGGCACCATTTCCTCCATCCATCACTGATAATTCATTACTGTTCACTATCTGAGGGCACCATTTTCCAGTGACATCATCCACCATCAAAATGGTGCCATCCAAGATTGTTATCCTTTGCTACCATTTGCCATCCAGTGATGCCATCTTCCCCAGATGGTCTCCATCCTCCACCATTCAACATCCTCTTCCTCTAACACCATCTTCCTCTATCTTGTACCACTGACTACTGATTGTTCTTCATCCTTTATTTTTTGAAGGTACTTCCCATTGATTTTCTTCATTCCCTACTGGCCAAACATTCTCCAATCCCATCTTCTTCCACCTACCGTTGACAAAGCATCACCTTCACTGATCCATAGTACCATGCTCGATTGGCATTCTCCATTCTCTTACATATATGGCCCATCCTTCAATCCTTTCCTCCTCCCATCCACTACCATCCTTGTTCACTACCGTCCAGCAATACCATCTCCCACCGATTCTCCAGTCCCACATTCCACCAACCCAATGGTGCCATCTTGCACCACCCACAGCACCATTACCAATGACTGCTATTCATGAATCAGACTTCACCATGTGCTGGTGTCATCGTGTCCAATATTCCACATCCTCTATCGTCTCACCCCTGCATTCTTCACTAACTTTGATCTTCCACCATGAATTTCAATCCTTTGCCACCCCACAAGACCACCTTCCATGGTTAGTCTTCAAAGGTTGCCATCTAATGCCTGCTCTTCACCCACCACCAAACACAATCCATTCTCCATCCTCATCCCTCCCCACCCAGTGGTGCCAATTCCCAACACCCAACTCTTTGTCCACCACCCTTTTTTCATTCCACAGCTCCTGTGTCCACCATCCCTCACCCTATATCCCTTGAATTTCCCTCGCCCTTTCAGTCCTCCAACACCATCCTCTATAGGATGTTGCCCCAGAGGAAAGTTCTATTCATTCCCTTTTACCTGAACCCCCTGGGGCTATGTACCTTAGTCAGCAGAGTCATGGTCACACATGTTCCAGTGGGAACATTATGGGATCTGCACAGGGACAGGACCTTCTCTTTCACCTACTTGGTAGTAGGAGTGGATAACTGGTCAACCCACTCTTCTCTCCAATGCCCAGTGCCTACTCCTATCCCAGGCCTTTACTTCTACCACCAACCAAGGGAGCCCTCCCCAGATCACTAAGGGAACACTGAGCAGCCTGTCCAGCTCAGTCCAGGTTCTGGCCCCTCCTGGAAATCTGTCCCTACACTCACCCGGGCATCTGTGACCTTGAACTCCCGCAGGATATACTGAGGCATGTTGTATTCTGCCATTGGATCCACCACGAAGTACTGGTAACGGGCAGAGCGCTCTGCTGGCCAGTACTGATGACACTTCTCCTGTCAAGGAGACGGTGGCTGTGGTCAGCCTTGCCTGAGTTCTGGCCCAGACCCCGCCCTGCCCGCTGTGGCCCCTGGCTCACCCGGCCCATCTCCCGCAGCTTGGTCAGCATCACCACGATGGTTGAGTTGTTTTCCCAGAGCATGCGCCAGAAGTCTTCCGTGGTCTCTGCCAGAGGCCCCTGCGTGGCGATGTAGGCCTTCTGCTGCCTGCAGAGTGGTGTGGGTGAACCCAGGGCCATCGGGGAGACCCAGGCCTGGAACTCACCAGATGATGCCTGGCACAGCAGGGCCAAGCCACACCTGCCACGCCTCTGCCTACTCAGGAATGTCTGGCCAGTGCACCATCCAACAATCTCATTCTACACACAGGGAAACCATCAGCCTCAGGACGAATTCAAACTCCCTGATGAAGCTGCAGAACTGTCTACTGACATCTCCTGCCTTCCTCCTCCCTCAAGTGCCATTAAACTACTTTCAGTTATTTGCCCTGGCCAACCTCTCTCTCACTTCCAGGACCGTGCACATGTGGTATCCTCTGTCTGGAACACCCTCCCCTAGGACAGGACCGTGCACATGTGGTATCCTCTGTCTGGAACCCCCTCCCCTAGGACAGGACCGTGCACATGTGGTATCCTCTGTCTGGAACCCCCTCCCCTAGGACAGGACCGTGCACATGTGGTATCCTCTGTCTGGAACCCCCTCCCCTAGGACAGGACCGTGCACATGTGGTATCCTCTGTCTGGAACCCCCTCCCCTAGGACAGGACCGTGCACATGTGGTATCCTCTGTCTGGAACCCCCTCCCCTAGGACAGGACCGTGCACATGTGGTATCCTCTGTCTGGAACCCCCTCCCCTAGGACAGGACCGTGCACATGTGGTATCCTCTGTCTGGAACCCCCTCCCCTAGGACAGGACCGTGCACATGTGGTATCCTCTGTCTGGAACCCCCTCCCCTAGGACAGGACCGTGCACATGTGGTATCCTCTGTCTGGAACCCCCTCCCCTAGGACAGGACCGTGCACATGTGGTATCCTCTGTCTGGAACCCCCTCCCCTAGGACAGGACCGTGCACATGTGGTATCCTCTGTCTGGAACACCCTCCCCTAGGAGGGTTTCTCACTCTCAGTGCTATTGACATTGGCGGCTGGATCACTCCACGGCGGGAGCTGTCCTGTGCACTGCAGAATTTGAGCAGCACACCTGGCCTCCACTCACTCAGTGTAGTACCCCTATCCAACTGCCATTGTGACAACCAAAATTGTCCCCAGACATTGCCAAAGTCCTCTGGGTGGCAGAATTTCACCAACTGAGAACCACTGATGAGGGAGAACAGATGGGACCACGTTATGGACAGCAGCCATCAGTTACATACATATCTAAAGATTCCCTCTACCCAGCCCTGGCTGCCCAGGGCTGGCAGTCTCTCCCCAGCTGTTTCCCACAAGACTGGAGGCCTCTTGAGGACAGAGATGGGATCCCTTTGGGGCCCTACAGTGACCAAGGCATGGTACCTGTAGCCGTCAATGAAGCTGGCATTGATGTAGTCAGAGCCCTCCACGCCCCGGATGGGCTGCAAACAGACCCGTGTGCTCTCGTAGGGCATGATGTTCACCAGCCGGTTCTTGAACTTGTTACAAGGCAGATTGGCACTAATGAAGCGGGATGTGTGGGCCTTGGAGTTGGCCAGACGCTGTGGGGACAAGGAGACTCAGAGACCACCTTCAGGACAGCCTCTGGCCCGGGGCCTGCTTTCTCCAGGCATGGGGAGGGCTGTGATTTTGGACAGAGTGCTAATGGTGGAAAAACAGGCAGGGGGACACCACCCCCACTTTCTAGTCCCTGTGGCTCGAGGCAACCCTGGTCTCCATATCCTTGGGCCCCTGCTCCGCCCATGACAGCCTCCATCCCACTGGCACCTTGAACTCGAGCTCCATGCCCGTGACGTGCTCGCCAGGCTCCACCTGGGCCAGCTTCTGGATGTAGGCGTAGAGGCTGCGGGCGGGCACCTCTGTGTTGCCACAGCCCACGGCCTCCAGCAGTGCCTCGTGGATGAAGCTGTACTGGTCCTCAGTCTGTACCATGTAGTTGCGCTGCGACCGCATGAGCGTCACGTGGCCATACACATCCACTGTCTTCTCTGGCTTGATCCGCTCCAGCATGGCGTCGATGACAATGAAGCAGCCTGTGCGGCCCACACCAGCGCTGCAGGGAAAGCCATGTGGCATTCAGGGGCCACAGGGAGCGGGAGACAGGAGCAGGTGGGCAGGGTGGCTAGGGTGGACGTACCTGCAGTGGACCACGATGGGGCCGGCGTCGGGTGGGTTGCAGGTCTTCACTCTCCGCAGGAAAGCCAGGAAGGGTGTTGGGTACTCAGGCACTCCATGATCTGGCCACGCTGTGAACTGGAACTGGCGGACCTCACGTTTCTCACTGGAGCCATTCTGAGAACCACAGGGACATCGCCTGTCACTGAAGCTGGCCACTCACATGCTGAGGATGCCCAAATTCATACTTCCAGACTAGCACGTCCCTGAGTACCCAACTCAGTGTCTGCCCACCCCCTGGATGTTTCCACGTGAGTCTTGCAGGGGCCTCGTACTCAACATGGCCAACACTGTGCCCAACCTTCTCCCCAAACCTGCTTCCCCATCTCAGCTGATGGCAGCTCTATCATGAATGAATCACTGTTGAGTCCCTTCCTCTCCCACATCAGCCACTACTGTCGGCTCTGTCTTCAAAGTCTATCCTAAATCCACCCACTTCTCACCCCTCCATGTAGGGTCCAGCTCCATCGTCACTCCCCTGGACCAGCACAGTCACCTCCACCCTGGTCCCCCAGCTACTGCCCTCGCCCCCCCGAGTCTGTCCCCATGGTAACCAGAGGGTGCCTGTGAGCACCTGAGTCAGATCCCATCCTCCTCTACCCACAGCCTTCCATGGTTCCCACATCCATCTGGGGAAAAGCCCAACCCGCAGCTCACAAGACCCTGCACAATCTGCCCTGTCCCCTCCCTGCCCCCCCTCACTGTGCTGCAGCCACACGGGCCTCCTCGCTGTTCCTCCAACACGCCGGGCTCAGTCCTGCCCCAGGGCCTTTGCACAGGCTGTTCCCTCCACCTGAGTCTGTTCCCTAAGATCTCCCCATGGCTCCCTCCCTAGACTCCTCCAGGTCCCTGACACATACTCTCTTCCGTTTTATTTTTCCCCTTCTACCTGTAAGATTTCTTGTCATTTCACCTGTTTGTCATCTGTATCTTGTCCACTGGACTGTAAGCACCACAGGGGCAGAACATCCTGCCTGTCTTGGACCCTGCTATATCCTAGTGCCCAGGTTGGGGCATGACACAGTACATGCTTATTATGTGTGAATGAACTGAGAAATGTTCCTCTCTCCTGTTCACCTACTCAGTTTTTTGGCACTTGGACCAAGCACATTCTTGGTGTTGACAGTGGCCCTGGCTGGGTATCAGGGGCATACTGTGGTGCCAGCAGCCCCTCCCCTCTCCATCATGACAATAATGTGTGTCCCAGACATTGCCAAATGTCCCCTGGATGGCAGAATTGCCCCAATTCAGAATCACTGATGTAGAAAAACAGATGGAACCACATAACGGACAGCAGCCATCAGTTAAATGCATATCAAAAGATTCTCTCCATCCCAGCCATGACTGCACAGAGCTGCTGGTGTCTGTCCAGCTCTGTCCTCTTGAGGGCATCTCTGGGACCCTGCTGGGGCCCCATCACACGCCTAAGCTCAGTGATGCCAGAGGGCAAGTAGATGAGGAAGACCTGGGACGTGACTGAAGGAAAGGGGGCAACAGGTTCATTGTTAAGTTGGATTCCTGCCATGGCTGGAGACAAGTGATGTCCAGTTTCTCCATCCATGAAGTGAGCTCCATAGAATGTGGTCAGCCTGGGAGGACATGCTGGGCCTTCTCTCTCCTGTGGGGAGCTCCCTGGCCAGAAGCCTGGGTACCTCTGTCTTCCCCTGACCCCTGCAGCTCCTGCCGGGGCCCTACCTTGTGCAGGGAGAATGTCCTCACGCAGAATGTGGCCAGCTCGATGGTGTCCAGCAATGTGACCTGAATGAAGCCGTAGGTCTCTGTGCCTCTATTGGGCCAGTACTGATCACACTTAATCTGCACCGGGCAAGAGAATGGGAGTGAGCGTGGGCCGGGGCTGGCCAGGGAGTCTGGGGCCCAGGGGGTCCAGGCCTCACCCGTGACTTCTCCTCCAGCCGCGTCATCATGACGATAGTGGCTGAGCGCTGCTCCCACACCATTCGCCAGAAGTCACCGAAGGTCTCAGGCAGGGGTCCCTGTGTGGCGATGTATGCGTTCTGCCGCCGGTAGCCGTCCACGTAGTTGGCATTGATATAATCACTGCCCATGATGCCTACGCCCGGGGCAAGAGGCCAGGGATCCATGGCATGCTCTGCCTTCTAGGCTGATTCCATCAAGCCTGCCACTTCCTGGAAGCTCCCTCTGACTGCCCCAAACTGTCCGCAGGTAACTGTGGGGCATGTACTTCAGTGTCTCCCCCCTGGCACTATTGCTACTGGGGCTGGATCATCTTTTGTGGCAAGGCCGTCCTGGGTACTGCGGGTACTGAGCAGCGTCCCTGGCCTCTACCTACGCCATGCCAGGAGCAGTCCCCTCTCCCAGGTGTGACAACCACAAATGTCACCGACATTGTAAATGTCCCCTGCGTGGCAGAACTGCCCGGATTGAGAACCACTGATGTAGAGGAACAGATAAAGCCATGTTAAGGACAGCAGTCATCAGTTAAACTCATATCTAAAAATGCCCAGTGGCCTCTGGCTAGAGCTGGACCAACTCAATGCCCAGAAGCAGGCCTCAGTGGTCAAGAGGAGGCATGAGGTCTGTGAGCTTCCTGTGCAGTGAGGGAGGGCAGGACGGAGCCCGGGGCCCCGCACGCTACCTTCGATGGGTTGCAGGATGACACGGGAGTGGTCATAAGCAATGACATTGGCATAGCGGTTTTTCGGCTTGTTCACTTCCAGGTTGGAATGTTCCCATGTGAACTGCTGTCCAGGATCGATGGACTGCAGAGGAAGAGGAAGTAGGTGGCTGGGTGTCAGGGTGGGTGCTCATGAGCCTGCGGGGAGCAGAGTGGGAGGCAGGGGCCAGCTCACCTCATACTCCTGGGACAGCTTGAGGCTGTCATTGGCCTTGAGGCGCTCCGTGTGCTCTGCCATGTCAGCGATGGGGATTGGTGGGTGGCTGAGCATGCCTGCAGGAAGAGCAGACCCCGCCGCACAGGCCAGTCACTGGTGTGGGGTGGGGGATAGCAGGGGCTGGGGGACTTGGGGGGGTGCTCTACAGTGTGAGTCTGCGATGGACGAGCTGCAGTTAGAAGGAGTGGCAGGGTGGGTTCAGCGTGAAGGGAAGGGTCAGGGTGGGACCCCAGGCCTGAGGATCTACAGGTGGAGAGTTCAAGGCTGCTGCTCCCGGCAGAGCCTGACACCCCTGGAGGGGGCCTGGATCACTATCTTGGCCTGTCCTGGTTCCCCCAACCCAGGTTCGCCTTGGAGGACTTCAAGCTCCCAGTGCCATATGGCAAAAAGTAGGCAAGCGGCACAGAAATGAAGCAGGTGCAGTCGCTGTGCCTTTGGAAATGCTGTCTTCGGGGCAGGGGTGGGGGCTTCACACCTCTGGAATCAGAGGGACCAAAAAACCTTCAGCTGGGTAGAGTTGAGGGATTGGAGAGCAGGGGTGCAGTACGTGTGTGTGTGTGGGGGGGGGTCCACCTCTGTCCCTGCACTCTTGTGGGGCAGGAGCAGGTGCAAAAAGCCCTTGACCTCTAAGAGCTCCTTGTCCTTTGGGGCCTCCAGGGTAGTTGCCAGAGGGAGGGGGGTGGGCTTGGCTCTCCCTTCCAGTCTACAGACCCCTGTCCTCTCCTGGGGCTCTGTGTATCAGGTGTTAAACCTTCAAGAGATTTCCAGGCAGGCTGGTAGACAGCTGCTGTTCTGAGCCTACCATGTGCCCCCTACCCTGCCCGGTGTCCCCAAGAGCTCACATCTAAGGGGTCTTCAGGGCCTGCCTGTCACGCAGGCATCTCCCATGTATATACATGTCTCCCCCACGCCCCTGCAACATACATACACGCAGATGCAACCAGCCACCTAAGGGCCCAATGGACCAGACCCCCGCCCTCCTCGAGGGGCCAGGGCAGGACAGGTGGGCAGAGGCCAGTGGGGGGAGGCTGCACGGACAGAGACAGGAGGCAGAATGGAGAAACCAAAGATGGAAACAAACAGGGAGCGAAAGGAAGCTGAGAACAGAGACAAAGGAACTAACTTTCAAAGCGAAACCCCGGCTCCCTGAGGGGGCTGCTGAGGCCTGAATCTGCAGAAACAGCAAACAATAAATAAATGAAAACACGCAGGGGGGGCCCAAATCCCCCACCCCTTGCTGGCCGGCAGATGCAAAGGGCTGAGCAAGTTCAACAACGAGGGACACACAGCTGCCTGGACCCCAATCTGAGAACCAATGGGAGTTGCTAACTGGGTATACCTCCAGCTGGATGACAGCCAGCTCTGGCCTTTACTGCGACTCCAGGAAGACCCCAAAACTATAGGCTCTTTTGTACACATGCCCCCCAGACCAGCCTAGCCTTGGGTCCCCTGTTGAGGTCAGTGGAGGAGATTTTTGGGGAAAGAGGATGCAGGATGGTGAGGGAGAAACTGGACAGTAGGGGAGGGACATATGGGCCTGTGCCATAAGCTTTAAGGAGGGCAGCAGCCATCAGTTAAATGCACATTTAAAAATCCACATTTGAATGGAAACAGAACTGACATAAGCTAGTCCAGAGATAGATGAGAGCACATTAGGGTGACATATGAGACTGCATGATCCCTTCAGGAGACTGCAGCCATCGATTAAATATACATGTTTAAAATCCACATTTGGATGGAAACAGAACTGACATAAGCTAATCTAGAGACAGAAAAGAGACGAATGCATGTTAGGGGTGACATATGAGACTCTGCATAATCCCTTCAGGAGAATGCAGCCATCAGTTAAATACATATTTAAAGTCCTTATTTGGATGAGAATTGAAGTGACATAAGCCAGTCCACAGACAAGAAAGAGAAGAGAGTATACTAGGGGTGATATATGACACCTTGGATGAGCCCTTCAGGAGGACTGCAGCCATCAGTTAAATATATGCAGTCAAAATCCTCATTTTAATGGAAATGGAAGTGACATGAGCCAGCCCAGAGACAGAAAAGAGAAGAGAGTACATTAGGAATGGCATGTGATGCCAGGCATGAGCCCTTAAGGAAGGACTGCAGCCATCAGTTAAATACAAAGGTTTAAAATCTCCATTTGGTTGGAAACAGAGTTGATGTGAACCAGTTCAGAGATAGGAACTAGAGACCAGGTGCAGGCAGAGGGACAGATGCAACCATGCTGTGAATGCTGTGAGCCTATAAGGAGAACAGCAGCTGTCAGTTAAATTAAAAATTCCCTATTTGGTTAGAAGCAGCTGGCATGAGCCCATTACGAGAGAGAAGATGGGGGAGTCTGTGAATCATTGGACACAAAGATGATCAGGGGTAAGATCCTGATTCAGTTATCCTGCCAGGCATAGCAGGTGACTTTAGCTGAGTCCTGTTATCTACAGGGAACCATGGAGAGGCTGGGAGACCATGAGACCCTGTAGCGATGGAGGGAGAGGTGCAGGGCATGGGGAAGGCCTAATTTCTGTGCCTCACTAGGGACACATCCCAAGAGAGTACTGTGGAAAATGTCCAAGGATAAACCTCAACTCCCACCACTGAGAGGCCTTGAGACAAGATGTAAACAGTAGCATAGCTCTTTCTGTCAAAAGAAATGAGGGTTTTTTTGGTGTGTGTTTTCTTGGTTTTTGTTTCTGGATGTTCTTTAGGCTCCCGGAAAGGACAGCAATCATCAGTTAAATGTAACTTTAAAAAGCCTCACTCAGTTGTAAGCAGATCCAACCCATGAGTCTTGCAAGCCCAGATCCACAAAGGGTGGGAGGTCTTTGGGAATAAGGAATTTAACTGCACCAAGCATAGTTCAGAGGGGGCAGATGAGGGTCCCCCAAGGTGGCGGCTTTCTCTTTTCCTCCGCTACCTCCCCCATTAAAGTCCCCGGCATCAGGGATAAGCACATACCTGGAGTCTGGAAGTTAATACGTCGCATTTCCACGGGGTCCTTGGGGTGGTGGGGGGCGAGGTCGGCATTGTTCAGGAGGCATTTGGTGCGGGGCTCTGAGTCCTTGCGCTTACTTCATGGAGAGAAAGGAGAGTCCCCTGAGTACACGCATGTGTAAGATGCACGCACACATGTGTGAACACAGTTTAGCCCCCATGCATGTGCAGCAGGAGAACCGTGTACACATACAACGGGTTTCCAGGACCATGCGTGACCACAGAGGCAGCCTGCTGGAGCAGCCAGGTACCCCTTACCCTGTGGGTGCAGCACCCCCACCTGCCCCCTCTTTGTCCCCCTGCATTAAGCCTCCAGGGACAGGGCCAGTTCTTACCTGTCGGGTTTGCTGCTCCCGAAAGCACAGGCGAGAAGGGGGGAAAAAAAGAAAGGTGAGGGCGTGCTGGCCATAAGAGCCCATAAGAGTGGCTTTCTTAACCTCTCTGAGCTTTGGTCTCCTCCTCTGGAATATGGGGTTCATCCTGCCTCCTTGGCTCCCACCACAAGGAGGCATGTCTGAGCCCTTCCTTCCTAAGCTGGCACATACCCCACGGGGCCACTATAATTACTATTATCATCAAACTGCACAGAGGTAACCTCTACCCCAAACCTTGCTGAATTCGGTGTTGGGGTGAACAGGGGGAGCCAAACCACTGGCCTGTATTGAACCCCAGCCCTGCTATTCCCCAGGCTGTGTGACCTCGAGTGGCTTAACCTCTCTGAGCCTCAGTTTCTCCAGGTGTACCACAGAGGCCTTCAGGGACGATCCCCTGAGATGACCCTTTCCAGACCCTTCCTCCTCTTCCAGGAAGCCCTCCCTGCTGTCAAGTGGAGGGTGCAGGGGGCTCACTTCTTGTAGAGCAGAATGGCGATAACAATGCAGATGATGAAGACCACAGCCAGCACGGGCCCGATCACCCAGATGAGCCCCTCCTCGCCGTCCACGATGGGCTGAGGGTCTGGGTTATCCAGCTGGAAGGGGTCTGAGAAGGGACTGGCTGCAAATGTCTGCAGGAACAGGGGGGGCCTCCGTTAGTGCCCATCCTCCTTGTGGGGGCCGGATGGGTCTTCCTCAAACAGAAACCTGTCCCCCTCCCTGTTCTAAATCTTCCTATGGCTCCCAAGAATCCTGACCCTAGTGATCTGTATGGCCTGGTCCCTGCCGATCTTTGCTCTCTCTATTCCCTCCTCTGCCCCAGCCACCCTGAAATCCTTTGTTTCTCTTGCACCTCCACACCTTTGTACATGCAAATCCTGGGATGCCTTCTCTTTGTTGAACTCCTACTCATCCTTCAAAGCCCCAGCTCCAATGTCCTTTCTCTAAGAAGCCTTCCTCAGGATTTCCCCAACCCCAGTCCTCCCCTCTGTCCAGCTTCAATCATAGAGAGGTGAGAGGGTCTTTGTCTGGCTTTGAGGTCGGGGCCCCAGGGGCTGAAGCCTCTTTGGGGTCTGCCTCACTCACAGGCTGTCTCTGGATATGTGCACACAGCACTCAGCACTTACAGGCTCGCTCTTCTGTAGCACAGCAAGCACAAAGAGAACATATCGGTGGCCAGGCTCCAGACCCCGGTTGTCAAAGCCACCGTACTGCTTCTGGTCACCAGGATGGAAGGTGGGTGGCAGAACGGAGAAGCGAGCTGCAATGTAGGGCCGGGGCACCTCCAGCTGGCGCGAGTGCCGCAGGCTGCGCCTCTGCAGCCGGGAGATGTCTTGGATGAGCTATGGGAACAGAGGTGTGGGTGGCTCAGAGTTCAGCTCGGAGTAACTGAGCACACAGAAGCTGGGACATGTCTGGGCCCTGCAGGCTGGGCCCCAGGCCCTCACCTCCTCCAGATCCATGTCCTCTGGGCTACCTAGTGGGGTCAGGAACTGGCCTCCACGAGACTTGCGCAGTGGCACCATCACAATGAAGTAGCTCCTATCGGGAGATGGAAGAGTCAGAGGGGGGCTGTCTACAGGCATGCTACAAGGGGGTAAGCAGAAATCTGTCTCACGAGTCTTCTTTTCTGTTCATACAATGGGCCCATTCCACTATGCCCCAGCCAGAACTGACCGCAGGTCGTGACTCAAGCCTCAAGGCCTCCGATCACACTGTGCCTTCTGCCTAGAAGGCTTCCCGCATGCAGGTCTAGCTGTCATATTCCTATACATCCTTCAAAGCCCCAGCTTCAATGCCCACATATTCTTATAATCCTTAATTTTTCTCTGCCTCTCAGGAACAGTCCTCTCTTCACCACTGGGGACTCCCAGCTCTGGAGTCTGGAAGCTGAGAACCAAATCTCAGGGGCCCTGGCATTGTCCAGTGGAGGGTCAGGCATATGGGGGTGTCAGGGAATGTGGCAGGAGCCATTATAAGGGCACATTTAGTGATAATAGCCCACAGGAAGCACTGAATCTTTAGGACAACCCCACGAGCTACGGCTGATGTTATCTCTGTTTTATAGACAGGCAAAGAAACCGAGGCACAGAGAGGTTACGTGTCTTGCCCCAGTCACACAGCTGGCTGATGGGGGTGAAAGGGAATCTAGGGGTGTGGGAGAGCATACTGGACAGGCACGGGGCTCTGGCCATCGGGCAGATAAACCATGATGAAGCCATCGGCGTCAGGCTTAGGAGCGACGCTGGGTTTGCTGCTGAGCAGGTTGAAGGCGGTCCAGGCGGTGACCGTCTGCTGGAGGCCACCCAAGCTGCTGCCGCGATTGGTCAGCACGAAGTTGTAGAAGGTGTGAGGTTTGAGGTGTGTGATGAGTTTCTTCGTGGTGCGGCCATCCACGTCCAGTGTGAGCCCGTTGTACTGGATCTGCAGGCCAAGGCTGGCTCAGTGGGGCCCGATGGGGCTCAGGCTGAACCCCCAACTCTGACTGGGCCCTGATCCTGCTGAACCCTGACTCTAGCTGAGGCCTCGGCCCCAACCTGGGCCCCCGACCCTAGACTATGCATCAACTACAGCAGAGCCTGACCCCAGGTGGAAACCCAACTCTGACTCAGTGCCAATCTTCACTAAGCCCTAATGCCAGACTGGGCCTTGAGCCCACTGAGCCTTAATTCCTGCTGATCCCAACCCCAGAATGACCCCTGACCCCAGAGTGAACTTCAGTTCCACCTGAGCCCCAACCCTGCGTTCTGATCCCAGGCTGAGCCTCAACTCTGAATCCTAATCCTGACTGAGCCTTGATCCCAGACTGAGCCTCAATCCCAGGTAAGCTATAATCGAAGGATAAGCCACCACCAACTCCGATTCCCAATCCCACCACCAACTCTTTTTCCCAATCTTGGGCTTCAACCCCAGATCCTCGATCTCAGCTGAGCCCCAGTTCTCACTGAACCCTGATCTGAGAGACTCAGCACCAACCCCAGACTGAGCCCTAACCCCAGCCGAGCCCCTGCCCGCATCCACCTGCTGGCCAGGTGGTCACACCTTGTAGGGCGTGGGTGAGTTGTAATTATCGGGGAACTCCCAGCTGAGCAGAACGGACGTCTTCATGATCATCTTCACCTTGAAGTTCTTGGGAGAGACTGTGCAGGCAGCGGCCGAGCGGGGAGAGAGAAGAGAGGCCCCGTGAGTGGCTGGCGTGGGGAGGGTCGGGGTGGGGTGGGGCGGCCCAGGCGCTCCCTGTGTCTGCTGTGCCCGTGCCCGTGGCCTTCCTGCCTGGCCCTGGCCCGGCCCTGCCTGCCCTGTCCCAAGTCCCTGCTGTGGGAGACGGCGCAGGCT